TGGCGGTGATGAGTGAAACAGTTTAAACGCACAGGCACAGACACAGAGACAGGCACAACGACAAACAAGACCAGCAGACAACAACCCACAAAACAGCTCCACCGTGGCAGTCTCCTCTTGGCAGTTCCAGCAAGCAATCGCCTCACTTTCGAGTGTAGCGCCTGTATCGCGCCCTCAGCAGTGGATAAACTATTAGAATAACAAAAGTGCAGTAAAAAAAGAGGAGAACATCGCGCCCGTATACGGGCCCCGTGTGCATGCGGAGGCCCCCGGTCGGTGTGGGCCCGCAGAGGTGGAGGGTTAATTTAAGGTGGTGAAGGGGCTGTCTGCGTGATCTTTTTAACTTCCACCTTGTATTCTATCTGCGTTCAGGATCTGCTTAGGTGTACGTACACCTGGGCCAAGGGAGCACAGAGGCGGGGCCGAAGGGGCCTCTCGGGCTGCGGGCCCCGGCTTGGCTTTCCTGTACCGGGACCTGGAACTAGCAAAATCCTCCCATCTTTCTTAGGTTGTTGCGTTCTGAACAACTACTTGACTTAAAGCCTCTTTCGCCTTCTCCCGTAGACAACAGGAAGCGAGGAGGCCGCTGAGCCCCCCTCACGGTAATGCGTGCATCCCCGTGATATTTGTAAGGCTGGGGGGGCTGGGCTAGAGCAAAGCAAGGAGAACAGCCAGAGGCAGCAAGCTGCTGCGGGCTGCTGCCTCCTCCATCGGCCGCAGCCCGCAACACCAACGCAGCTGTAGTGTACATGCATCCCATGGGCCTTCCGTGGGCTCTTGTTGGGGCTACGAGGAGGAAGCTTGTTGGATGCACCACAGCAAAGTCTACAACGCTGCTGCTCTCCCCAGCAGCTGCTGCAGTCACAGCAGCCGCTGCTTCAGGAGAATGCCGCACTCAGAGCGGCTGCCACCGCTTGACCCCGGTCGCCNAGTCACAGCAGCCGCTGCTTCAGGAGAATGCCGCACTCAGAGCGGCTGCCACCGCTTGACCCCGGTCGCCTTCGCAAGAGCGCTTCTTACGTGTAGAAGCCTAACGTCCTCTGTGCAGCAGCACCAGCATCGGCAGCACAGGCTATTTGTGCCCCATGTAGCGTGCGCCAGCGCGGGATGTTCCCCTGCTGCATACAGCAGCAACAGCAGCAGTAGCGACAGCAGACCCAGGTGCCTGTCGGCACCTCATCGGTTTGCTACAGATGGGCTTGTGGCGCCAAGTTCTTTTTCAGCTTCTTTAGGCCTCTATGTTGCAGCGTCCCGTACTTTGTGTCAGCACGGGCAGGCTCATTACCTGCTGCAGCAGCAGCAGCAGCAACCGCAGCAACTGCAGCAGATGCTTGGGCAGCACGTGCGGGGCATAAGCACAAAGCGGCGACGCTACTTCAAGATGCGTAAGTTTCACAAGAAGAAGTACAAAAAGAAGCTGATGCGAGCCAAGAAGGTGCCATTTGTAGAAATAAATCGGCCAAGGAGAACATGGAAAACCCTCCACCAAATGCAGCTTATAAGAAAACAGTTTCGGAGGGGAATCCCAGGGAAAGGCGCGAGGATGCTGCGTCTTAGGCGGCAGCGCTAACAGCCTGCACCGCCGTAGGTGCTGCAACAAATNAAGGCGCGAGGATGCTGCGTCTTAGGCGGCAGCGCTAACAGCCTGCACCGCCGTAGGTGCTGCAACAAATCTGCACATTTCACTCTTTTGTTGGCTTCCTTTCATCTCTCGCCACCTGGTGGATCCGATCCCATGAAACGAATCCCGCAGGTGGCCTTGCTAGACAATTGTTCTCTCATGCTTTGCAGTTCATGTACTGCTAGCCTTGTCCTTCTTATTGCTAGAAACTCTACTGTCGCTGTGTTTTCTAAGGAGTCTATACACCCCCGGCTGCTAAAAAGCACAATATCCTCCCCTACACTGTCACGGGCGCAGCTAGTTGGTGCACAGATATCTGTAGTGTTTATTCGGACGAGTTGATCTGAGTTGTATTAGCAATGAAGGGCAAAACAGAACGAACACCTAACGCTGCGAAGGCAGCTGACGGGTGAGCTAAGGCGGTGCTAAAGCCAACATTCATAGGGCCCAGCTAGCCAGCTAGCCACCACCTAGCCGCTTAGTGCCTTTATTTGTGGATCTGCAACTGGCCTCTTGCCGACGAGAGAACAAACGAAAAGCTCGCGGCCCCCGGGGGATTCTTCTTCAGGGGTATGTCTGGAGGGACAGACT